ACCCTTGAAGATTTTTACATTTTTGGACTGACCTCCATTATCTTTCCACCAGGACATCTTGAAACGTCGAGAAATAAAAAGAAAAAAAATTGGGATATAATTTCTGTATGTATGGATGTTAGTGTATGTGTGTGGGTATGGTTTTGTTCACCCTCTTTGAAGCTTAATAACTCCCGTGCTTTTTGTCGAAAATTTCTGAAATTTTTCAGGGAGGTTTGTTTATTAGGGGGGGTTGATGCTGTTAAATCTTGGTTGTTAAAGGTCAAGGGGATGGGGATATAATGAGGATTTTGTGTATCTCCAGTAGGATCGGACTTAATGACGATTTTACTCGTTATTAGCATTTGCTATTTTTTAATAAAATTCATCCCTACCCTCAAAATTAAGCTTCTTGACATTTTATAATAGTTAAAAATATAAAAAGTTTTTAAATAAAATACTATAACAGAAGGCGCCAAAATTTTAAATGTTGCCCGGAAAGTTGAGCAACTCGTTGCTTGTATTTTCAAGAATTTTATTTATTTATTTATTTATTATTGAAGTTTCAAATATAAATAATAAATAAATATGTTTATAACGCTATATATATATATAACGTTAGAAAAATATAATGCTAAATCATATAATTCTAATTGTACTTAATAATAAGTCATCCCAACTTTTTATCTGATTAATAATTATAATAATAATAATTATTCATCGATATTATATTTAAATGTTGTTGTGTTTTTTGTATAACTTTTTCTTCAGAATAATTACATAACTTTAAAACTGTGCTATTAATAGAATAGATAAGAATCGCATTCGTATAAGAAATTTCTTAACATCCTTTAACATCATCAATATTGGATATCTTTAAAAATTATAATCAGAATGTTTCTTTTTTATGTATGATTTTAAAAACATAAATAATCTATTTTTGTATTAAAACGAATGATTTGTAAAAATAAAATGTTTGTAATACATTTATACTTTTCTCAAATTCGCTAAGTCACGAATATATCCATTATACCAACTTATATCTCATTGTAAAAACTTTTCTATTTGAATAAATAAAGCATTAGTCTACTTAGTATTTACATTTATTATAAGATTATTTTATAATAATCTTTTCTAATATTTTCTTTACATCTTAAGAAATTACTGTATATTATTATTTATTAATCCTTATAGGTTACATAAACCCCTACATTAAGGTAACACCAATCTAAGGGTTCATGTAATCTATAAAAGGCATAGATTAGAAAGGTTAGTAGGCCTATGACGTAAATATGTCTCACAGAACTTACCAAATAAAATTCTTAAGCTAACATTTTTATCAACAAATTGTCGTTCCTGTTTTTTTAGTTTAAATCTAATTATTTTACAATTAAATAACAAATAAGACATTCTTCTAAATTACAAAAGAAACAGCATACAGCTGAATATAAGAAATTATCTAATAAATCAGTACCGAAAATAACGTTATATAAATAATACACAATATGAATCTACATTCAAAGTTACGTTCGTTTGAACCTAAGTATAAAAGTTCAATAAATACTAAAGTTATCTGTAGATAACACAAATGAATGAAATATTAAACATCGATTAGTAATATCAAGTATGAATAACCTTGATCTCTGCATCTGGGAGCTCATCTATTTGAATTGTTGATAACGTAAAGTCTTAAAAAGAATATTTTATAGTTATTCTTACTAAATATAATTTTAAATACTGCTCCAATTTTATTTATTTCATTCCACATGTTTTATGCTATTTTTTCATTATATGGACCTATAATAGATTTTGTTTTTAAATTATCTAACACTGTGAAGCCGTTTAATAAAGTATTTGTGAAAAATTATAAGTATAAAATACTTTTTTTACAATGTTAAACATATTTTCTTATAACAGAATATATTTATATTATAATATATATAGAAAAACTGAGAATTCTATTACAATAGATTATTCGATCTTTAAATATTGAATTAAATTTTAATTTAATAAAGTTCAAATAACAACTATCCAGATTGACTGATGATTTGCACAGAAGATATTTGTGGATATTTCTGCATGATATATTTTATTCTTATTTTTTGCCACTTGAACTTTGATTATGTGAAATAAATGAGAAAGAAATATTCCGACCACTGATTCCTTTCAAATTTGCTGCATTACTCGTAGTAGTACGTAAATATTCAATAAAAATGGTGTTTGATGATATTCGTAAACTTCATTAGTGTGTAATTAAATACATATAAAATCTTTTATTAAAAATTTATTAAACGATTCAATTCTAAATCAAAATTATTTTTATTTTATTAAAATTATTTTACAGACTTCTTGGTAGACAAACTTCAACTAACATCTTTGTCAAAACATTTATAACACGCAAAAGTAATTTATAATTAACGAGCAAGTATTTATTGTGATATCGTCACAATGCCGGGCTGCAATTTTTAATCATATTTTTAATTTATTTAACTTAAAATATATGCTCTCCACCTCAAATTAGTAGTGGCTTGCCCCTGTACATCATACTTTTCCTTTAACAATAGAGTTGTGCCGTTCATTATAAATTACTTTTACTAACACCTTTTAGGGGAAAAGAATTGAATTGAAATAACGTGACTTCCTGTTCATTTATAGTTAATTGGGGCCTGTTACTCCTGATCTTTCCATATCTTGTCTCGTCTTTCACCTAACTAACTCCATTTTCGAGATTAAGAAAAGACGGACGGACGGACGGACGACAGTGGGAATTTGTCAGTGATTAACAACTATTTTAATTTTTCTAATCCGTTTGATTTTCCTGAGAGCAGAATAAAAAAGCTGGCTTTTCGTCTTGATAATGCTGTTCTAAAACCTAAATCTAATAAATGTGCATATATTTATTACATTTCATAATCAATAATCAATTTGATGAAGCATTATGACATTTTTACATGTATGAGATTGAATAAAAATTTTATATAATGTGTGTTGTTTTGGAAGAGAAACCATATACCCAAACGTTTGCCATTAACTATAAATGAATAACAAATTTGCTTTTTCACGTATAGGACTTTCCTTTATGACAGATAATCATTTAAATTCAGAATTTATGATGAATGATGACCAATTGTTATAGATTCTTCTATAGATTTAAAATATCAATATCCATTATTTCTGATTTATATTGTCAGCAGATTATTTCACAATAAAGCTGATATTTTTTTTGCATGTTGTTTCGGCTTCTGTCTACTGTATTATTATCACTTTTTTAACTTTTTCCGCCCTGTGGGCACTAACAGGGCCTCTTTAATTAAGCCCATTATGGATTCGGCCAGGTCCACAATGGAGAAGTCGGGTGGTGAAGGACAGGCCCGACAAATCCGATCCAGACGGACCCCCCGCGAAAAATTCCTCGGGTTTTCTCGACCCGAGCGAAGCCCGGATTCAGCCCGAGAAAGTCAGGATTCGAGCCCGAGTGCCCAGAGCGGTAGGCTGCCACCTAGACCGCTCGGCACGGTAGTTCTTGAACAAAAGAAATAAAAGGGAAGTGGCGTTTGACTGTTCGTGCAATTTCTTGCCTTTCACAGTGTTTTTTTTTAATGGTTTGCAAACTTTACCGCAAGATGGCGGTACTAGCAACTACGGTGTCATCTGCATGATATCATTAAAAAAGTATGATAACTTTCTTATTTTTCGTCTCCGGTCCAAAAGTAGGGTATCATTGAACTTGTCTCGGTCCCCTCAATTCAGATATATACTCAAAGTTCTGAGATTCCATAGGGGGTAATCTATATAATCCCCGAAATTATATATTGATAAAATAATTTTCTGAAACTATTTCAATATCATTTTTACTTTCCCGGATGTTTTACACGTATGACAGACGGATAGTATGACGATCTGTCAATTTTTTGACCTATCGCCCTACATTAACTATTTATATTTTTAAACTTAGGGGATCTTGAAACGTCAAAAATGCAGAAAAATGACGAAGATTTTTTTCTCTATGTATGGATGTTAGTGCATATGTGAGGAGGAGCACGATTTAACCTACTTTGAAGCTTAATAACTATTTTTCTGTCGAAAATTTCTGAAATTTTGCAGGGAGGTTTGAGATTTGTGTATTAGCGGTTGATGTCATTAAATTTTCGTGATTAAAGGTCAAGCGGATGGGAAGATAGAAGGATCATGCGTCAAATCTTGAATGAGGTCGGACTTAAAGAATTAGAGAGGTTGCGGCCGACGTTTTCAACGCGAAAACGTGTACGTCGGACGTTCAGCGCCACCTTCCTGTAGGCCTAGAAGTTTGACAATGGCGTTTGGAACGTCGATCATGATTCCACTGACGTTCCAAACGCCATTGTCAAACGTCTAGGCTTACAGGAAGGCGGCGCTGAACGTCCGACGTATACGTTTTCGCGTAGAAAACGTCGGCCTCAACCTCTCTATTTTATTCGTTATTAGCACTTACAATTTTTTCTTTTTTTTATAAAACTCATCTTTACCCTTAAAATCAAGCTTTTTGTCATTTTATACTAATTAATAATATAAAAAGTTTTTAAAATAAAATCTCATAACAGATAACGCCACACACAACTTTAAACTTTAACCGGGAAAGTTATGCAACTCACTGTTGAATTTTTTTTTCTTTATAATTCAACTGATGTCGACTTAAAGGAGATAGAAAATCATTTAGAGTTAAAATTAAAACGAATAATATAAACATAAATTGTACAAATAAAATTAGATGTAAATGTAAATTTATTTACAACACTTGCTGAAATTAATTAATAAATGTTAATTATCAATATATTATAGATATTTTAGCTGTGTCATAAATCTTAAAAGTTTAAATATCTTTAATTAATTAATTGTCCTATATTTTAATAGAATAATATTGTTTAATTATCCGGAAATTAGAGGAAAAATTTTTTACTTTAAAATTCAAAGTAATGCAACGTATAATATTAATACATAATAAACTCGTTAGAAAAAAAAAATTAATTTTTAAAAATATTTAACGATCGTCTGCCACAAATTCATTCACGTGCACCTGTATCGAATAACACGTGACGTTCGATTGATCAATTGTCATTAAAAATAATATTATTTGTAGTAAAAAAAAAGTATGGATTTTAAACAATTGATTGAATTATATGAAAATTTAAAATTTAAATTAATGTTTAATTTTATAAGAGTATATAATTTCATTTTATGTTATAGAAATAAGATCAAATATTTATCAAAGAAGCTTTACGAATGTGCTTTACTAAAAGTGAAGATTAAGTGAGTGGACGATTTGAATCATAACTTGGCTATTTAATTAATTGCGAATTTAATTATACAGTAAAACCTGTGTAAAGTGAAATCGCGAGGTACCGGTTTGGCAAGTTTCCGTTTTAGACAGGTTTTACTGTAATTATTACGCATTTCATTCTGTTAATGATAATTGTTATATAAGAACTACTTATGCTATATATTTCTTATCAGAACTTTATCAGGTTGCTCATTTTAATTGGTGGTTTATTTCTAATTTTTTCATCAGACCATGTACAGTACATATTATCAATACGAGTGTATGTATTTTTCCTATCAAAAAATCGTAGAATTCAACTGTTTTATATGAATTCGTATTAAAACTCTATTTTCCATTTTAAATTGTAGATTCTATATAATTTTTATCTTATATACTCGAAATAATTTATCCATTCGATTATAATGGTACAGCAAAATTGCATTTTTGTTCTTCAAGGATGAAAAAAGAAAACGAAGCAAATAATCATAATGATACCAACAACAACGGAATTATGAAGAAAGAATCGTCAGAATTAATTGAAAATAAATATAAATATATAACTATTACACCATTAAACTGTTCGTGTCTTCAAGTGTTACAATCATTTTCAATTAAACAGACGGATGAGTTAATAATAGAAGCTAAAGATATATTTACATTCTTCGAACTTTTAGGTAATTATTACTTTTACTATTTATCTAATATATATAAATAAATGATATACAGTAGAAACTCCATTATCCAAAACAATTATAAAAAAAGAAAAAGAAAAAAAAAGAACGTTTAGAATACCACAAAATACTGTATAAATCCATGTGACTGGAAATTACTACGACATCTGTTGATTTAGCGCCGCGAAACCAGGCCATATCGAACTTTATGTTAACTGTTTGAGTAAATTAAGATGAGTAATACAGAAACTGTATTACGGTATTCATAGTTTATAAAACTTCAAATGCACAGTGCTTTATTATCCAAAATACAAAAACAAACGTTTTTGGATTAACCGAAACACCCCTGGTCTCGTCAAGTTTGGATAATCGAGTTTCTACTGTGTGAAGTACATTTTTAAATAAACAAACATTATACTCGTATGTAATTTGGGTCTATATAAATGTTAAAAAATTAAACTGATTTGTAAATTATTATTATTATGGGAATCAAATAATAATCTTTGTATTCAATATTAATGAAATATTTAACTATTAATGCAGAATTGAATATTTTTAAACTATAGAATTTCAGAAAAACGCATTTTCTGTATAAAAGAAAAAAAAATGCATTGTAAACACAGCATTGTAGTAAAAGGAAAGAAAGACAACATCGTTTTATAGATAAAAAATACATTGAATTTAAACAATATGTATAAATTTTTCTTATAATAGGAAAATTAAATTTTTATTTATCTTTTTAGATTAGTTTTTTTTTACATCTTTTATTACAGCCCACAAATAATTCTGCAAAGTATGAAACTTAAAAGCGAATTAAATAATTTTACATTACATGCCTACATTAACAAATACAATATTTTCGAAACGTTGAAGTTGATAAAGCACGTAGCAAGAATGACATCACTCATGAAAAGATATGCTAGCTACGATACTAAGAAAATTTATTGGTTTCACTTATGGAATATATATGGTATATATGTATGGAATTCACCTATTTTATGTTAATTTTCTTTTAATTCTTCCTATAAGCTAAGTGAAGAAAAAACTAAATTATTTTAAAATTTCAATTTTATTATATATAT